CCCTTTGGGGGCCCCCCCCCCCCCCCGTGCAGGGAGTGAAGCCGGACCCGTTGCAGCACTGGGAGGTGGTGCCCATCGAGGTTTTTGAGGCGCGGCAGGTCAAGACCAGCTTCAAGAAGCTCATGAAGGCCTGCGTGCCCGGCAGCCCGGCGGCAGAGCCCGGCGTGACCTACCTGCGCTCCCTGGAGGAGTCGGAGTGGCTGGTGCAGGTCAGTGGCTCTCGGGGGGGCGGGGGGCGGCTCACGGTGCCGGCCGAAGCGCCCGCAGGCCCCCCTCCGCCCTCCTGCTTGATCTCCCGCGCCACTGGGGTGCTGGGGGTGGGGTGGGGGTGTTCCTGCACCCTGAGCTGGTGCCCCCGGGGGGACCTTCGTGCGTGCAGAGCCCTGTGGGCGTGATGCTCCTGGTGTTTGCACAGGCGGAGGGAGGGGGAGTGAGCTCGCCTGCCTGCTCGCCCGCCTGCCCGCCCCACACTCTCGGCTGAATCCCAGCCCGTCTTCCTTGGCAGATCCACAAGATCCTGCAGATCTCCGTGCTTGTGGTGGAGCTGCTGCAGACGGGCTCCTCGGTGCTGGTCAGCCTGGAGGACGGCTGGGACATCACAACCCAGGTGGGTCTCTTGGCTCCCCGCTCCCCGCAGACCTCCCCCCTCCCCCCCGGAAGGCGCGGACGCTGACGGCCCTCTCCCCTCTTCCCCTTCCCTCCCGCCCAGGTGGTGTCTCTCGTGCAGCTGCTGTCGGACCCGTACTACCGCACCATGGAGGGGTTCCGGCTTCTGACTGAGAAGGAGTGGCTGTCCTTTGGGCACCGGTTCAGCCATCGAGGGGCGCAGACCTTGGCTAGCCAGAGCAGCGGCTTCACGCCCATCTTCCTCCAGTTCCTGGACTGTGTCCACCAGGTGAGAGCCAGTCAGGGTCCCCCCTGCGATGCCGCCCGGGATCCCGGCCTCACCCTCGGGGGCCGCTCTCAGCCCCTCGTGTGTGTCTCTCTCTCGCCCTCTCCCTCTCTCGCCCTGCTCCGCAGATCCACCTGCAGTTCCCCCTGGAGTTTGAGTTCAGCCAGTACTACCTGAAGTTTCTCGGCTACCACGCCGCGTCCGCTCGTTTCCGCACTTTCCTGCTGGACTCTGACTACGAGCGACTAGAGCTGGGTAAAGGCCCGGGGGGCGGGGGGGCGGGGCAGCTCAGGAGGCAGCAGCAGCAGCGTGACACCCCCCCCCCGACTGTGTTCTGTTCCCGGCAGGCCTCCTGTATGAAGAGAAGGGGGAGCGGAAAGGGTCCCCCCAGCTCTTCAGGTCCGTCTGGGACTACATCGACCGCCTGAACAAGAAGACTCCGGTCTTCTTCAACTACATGTATGCCCCCGAGGACGGGGAGGTAAGCTCCAGGCACAGCGGCCGGAGGGTAGGCGGGACGCTGCCGGCCTCTCCTGGGTCGGTTTCTTCCCTGTGTCCTCAGGTGCTCCGTCCGTACAGCAACATCTCCAACCTCAAGGTGTGGGACTACTACACACGGGAGACCCTGTCCGAGGGCCCCTCGTACGACTGGGAGCTGGTGCAGGGCCTGGCGGAGCCCAGCGAGGAGGCCGGGCAGCAGGACACCAGCGCCCCGCAGAGCAGGCGCAAGATTGTCTGGCCCTGCTACGACAACTGCAGCCGCCTGGAGCCCGACGCCATCTCTCAGCTGCTGGAGGTGGGTAGTCCGAGCAGGGCCACGCTGCAGGGGGTGAGGCCGGTGGGGGGCTCTTCCACTGACCCCCGCAGGAGGAGGAGGAGGGGGCTCGGAGCTTGGCTCTGCAGGCCAGTCCCCTCCCCTCTGGCAAGGGTGGGCGTGCCCAGCAGTTCCGCTCTTCTGGTCTCCTGAACAGCCTCTCTTGGTCCCATGGGGGTCTGGGGTGGGGTGGGGGGTCTGGGGCCTGCTTTCAGGGGTGTGCCCTCTGGCGCCCTCTCTCCTTTGCCACCGGCTTCCCACTCCTGGCCTTTACTTTGGACACTCCCCCAGGACACAGCGACAGTGGTAGGAGGCCCTTCCGCTCGGCCACTGCTCTCCTGGGCCTCTTGGGGGCTTCCAGGGCGTCTGGCCAAAGGGTGGGCCAGCCCCCTCCCCAGGAAAAAAACAAAAATGTCGTGGGGAAAAACTGACACATACATACTTACTTTCTTCTCATTTTTGCTTTAACGACATAAAGTGTATCATTTATAACCTAGTGTGTAACATTGTATTAATGGGCCTATTTGTGGAGTTTAGAAGTGTAAATGCCTTCGTTTCCTAGAAGCAAAATGGCAAGTGCACCCAGCCCTGTACGGAGGGGTTTTCTGTTGGGGAGGGGGGGCAAGACTGAGAGCGGCACACTTAATTGGATTACCACTAATTAGATTAGTGGCTGCCTGTCAGGGCAGTGGGGTGCACAAGCAACCAAGCCAGACAGTGGTGCACAAGTAACCTCACCCCTTCCGTTCCTGGGTGCCTGTGAGGAGGAGGAGGAGAGCTCTTAGTAATTTTATTCTCTCTCTTTCTCTCCCCTCCCCCCCCCCCCATTTTTCTAACATGGGGCTGAGCAGCTGCTGGGCAGGGCGGGGTCCAAATCCAGCCTCCGTTCCCAGAATCCGGGCTCTCTATCCCTTTCGCTCCCATAAATATGGTTCAAAAAAACCCCAGTCTCCCTGGGTGGTGGCGGGGGAAGGCTCAGCCGGGGCCTGCAGCGCCCCCCCCCCCGGGGCCACACACGTGGGCAAGGACTCTTCCTCGCCTGCTCATCGCGCTCCGGCCTTTTCCCACCCCGCTGGAGCTGCTGTTGCTGCCACCGCCTGGCAAGGGCTGGCTGCTGTGGCTCTGCTGCCGCTTAAGGCTGCTGCTGCCGCCGCCCCTCCTCTCCTCCTCCTCCTCCTCCTCCTCCTCGCGTCCACTTGACTAGGATGTGGTGGTTGGGAGCACACGGGTGCCAGAGCAGAGACCAGAAAACCAGGAGGGGGGGGAGGGGCCGAGGCTCCGGCCAACCGAGCTCCCTCCTTTGACTTCCAGGCAAAACCAAGGTGGGAACTTTCTCTGATGACCCTAGGCAGCGCCGCCTCCTCCTCCTCCTCCTCCTCCTCCTCCAGCACAGGTGGGAAGGAAAGAGAGGAGGCGCCTGCCCCCCACCCTTCTTGCAAGGAGCTTGGGGCGGGGCCTCTCCCCAGCATGAGGGCAGCCTGACCGCTCCACGAGGGCGATTATTTCCCAGAATGCCTTCCAGGAGGGCTCCCAGGAGACACCTGGGTGTCCCAGGGCCCACCTGTGTGGCCTGGCCGGGCCAGGTCAAAAGGGGCGGGGAGGGTGATGTAAAATGGGTGGAGCCAGAGTTCTCATAAAAGTGCTTGCTGGGGTGGGGGTGTCTCTTGGTGCTGGGCTGAGCTCTGGCCTGCAGGCCGGCAGCCATCTGTTGGCCATGCGGTCTGGGGAAGGCCTGCAGGGAGCCAGAAGGTAATGAAAGAGCTTTAGAGAATTTGTAACTTTCTAAAACTTGGTGCCTAAGCTGAAGGTGACATCTGGTTAGGGAACGTTTTAGAACCAGGGAAAGAAGGGAGCATTTAGAAGCAAGTTTGTTCTTCTGGTGGCTGATTTGTGGGGTGCAAAACGTGTGCTTGAATTTACTTTCTTTTTAATGAATTCTTTTTAATATTGGATGTGGCCCTAGGTCTCTGTACCACGTGGGTCCTCCAGTCCTTCCTGACTACGCTGTTTTAAGTGGGGGGAGGAGCCCTGGGAGGGGGAAAGGCCAGCAGCTGGCCGGGCCCCCCCCCCCCCCCCCCCCCAGGGGCACCCAAAGCAGCCTTTGGTCCCCGTGGTAGCCAGGCGCTGGGTAGCAGGAAGACCTCGAGGCCTGGCCTCAGAACAGAGGAGGGGGCTCGGGAGTCCTGGCAGGAAGACCCCAAAACAACAGTGGTGGCAGCGGTACCCTAGTGGGAGGAAGTGGAATAGCTCCCTCCAGGAGCTGGCAACCCAGCGGAGGGAGTGGGCCAAACAGGGCCTGTAGGAGAAGCTGGCCTGTTCTGTCACAAAGATAATGAGAAACAGAAATTAGAACAAGTTGACCCTAAAATCAGCGAAAGACCGCTCTCCTAAGATTTCTGAAGCTTGGCTGAATAAAGGAGCTTTAAAGCTAATCCGGTTTCAGATAACTACTTTAGGATGCTTTTAAAAGCGGAGGAAACCCAACAAATGCGCGCACGCACACACGGAAATCGCACCTACCTCGTTGGACACCCCCCTGTTCCCAGAAACCAGGGCAGCTCTTCTGTGTGATGCTTCCTATAGCTGAAGGAACAGACAGCCACGGCCTTAGGACAGCCATGATTCTAGTGTGGGATGGTTCTGCGGAGAAGCGGTTGGTGCTCAGTCTGGTGCTGCGAAAGCATATTGGCCGGTGTGCTGCTGAGATGATATCTGATGGTGCTCATTAACGGCTCAAGCACGGTTTAAAAGGCTGCATGACGCACTTCAACGGTCGTTAGGAGACAGTAGATTTTGGTTTCTTTCTTCAGCTTCCTTAATTGGTAGTCAAAGATAAGCGGTCCTGTACTTTGGTGACCCTGTCCCGTGTGGCCTGCAGAGACGGGGCTTTGTCAGGGGCAGCACTGTGCCCTTGGAAGGCTTGCAGCTTGTCAGGCGCCCACCTTACTCCTTTTTAGGCATCCTTTGTCTAGTTGCCTTGGGCTTTTCACTTCGGGGTCGTCACTGGTGTTCTGGTCGGTCCGGCCTTCCCTGAGGACTGCTCTGTGGGTCACCTGACTTTTGCTTAATGGCGGGTTTTATGGCTGCTCGTGAGTGGTATCATTTATGAGGAGGAGACCCAGCTGAGCTCTGAGCAGGAGCAGGAGACAGAGGGGTGAGTGGTTTTTTACTTACTTTCAGCTGAGAGGATTCAACTGAGGATTTTGGTGGAAGAACTGGTCTGGGACTGTGGGGAAGTGCTTGGAGTTTTTGCAGATTCCTGGCTGCTTGAGAGAGGGAGAGGAAAGGGCATTGTTTGACTGTGATTGACTGCAATTGAGAGGAACAGGAAGGGGCATTGTTTTGCATGTGATTGAGTGCCTGGGTGCATTTGAATAGCTGCTGCCAGTCCTCTGCTGGGGGAGGCCTCTATTTAAGGAAACACCTGGCCAGAGGCAGAGGAGACCCAGCTGAGCTCTGAGCAGGAGCAGGAGACAGAGGGGTGAGTGGTTTTTTACTTACTTTCAGCTGAGAGGATTCAACTGAGGA